TCATGTGGTGAAGCTTACAACTATCAAAATGGTACTGTCTATGGTGACTGTTGAAGATCTCTTCCTTTAGCAGTTAGATGTGAAGACAGTCTTTCTTCACGGGGATCTTGAAGAAGACATTTATATACACCAACCTGAATGGTTCATGGTACAAGGAAAGAAAGAGTCACTTTGCAGATTGAAGAAGAACTTGTATGGCCTGAAGCAAGCTCCCAGACAGTGGTACAAGAAATTTGATAATTTCGTGCACAGTGCAGAGTACAGCAGATGTCAGGTAGATTATTGTTGTTATGTCAGATATTTTGACAATTCGGATATCATCATATTGTTGTATGTGGATGCTATGTTCAATCCAGGGGCTAGTATTGATGAGATCAATAATCTGAAGGAGCAGATGTCAAAGCACTTTACAATAAAGGATTTGGGAGCGGCAAAGCAAATTCTTGGTATAAGAATTGTTAGAGATAGAGTTATAGGTATGTTGAGACTCTCTCAGACTGAGTATGTGAAAAAAGTACTTAGCAGGTTTAACATGGATAAAGCCAAACCAGTTGGCACACCCTTGTGAAGTCACTTCAGACTCAACAAGCATCAGTCAACCAAATCAGAGGAGGAACGAGACCACATATTGATTCATTTATGTATGATATGGTTTGCACCTGACCGGATATTGTCCATGCAGTGAGAGTTGTTAGCAGATACATGAGTAATCCAGGAAAGGTATATTGGGAAGCAGTAAAGTGGATCTTGAGGTACCTAAGAAACTCTTCAGAAACTTGCTTGTGTTTCTCAGGAAAGAGTTCAGAAGTACAGGATTATGTTGATGTTGATCTAGCTGGAGACATTCATACCAGAAGAAGTACTACATGCTATATTTATATTTTTGGTGACACTACAGTATCATGGTTTCGTTGTCTACTACAAAAGTAGAGTACATGGCAGTGCAGAGACTGCATAAGAGATGATATTACTACAGAGCTTCTTGGAGGAATTAGGCAAGAAGAATCAGAAGGGCATTCTCTACAGTAATAGTCCAAGCGTCATATTTCTTGCCATGAATCCGGCATTTCAGTCCAAGACTAAGCACAATCAGATCAGGTATCATTCCATATGGTCATTGTTGGATGACGGACAGTTGTTGCTTGAGAAAATACGTGGAAGCCAGAAACATGTTGATATGTTGACTAAGGGTGTTACTCTTAAGAAACTGAAATTGTGTGCAGCTCCAGTTGGTCTTCTAGCTTGAAGACAGTAGTCTTGAGTTGCAGAGGTGGAGGATATCATGTTTGAATAAAAAGACGGCGCCGCTAGTTGAGGATATTAGTTTGAGAGGAGGAACGATGTTGACAGTGTATCAATCCCCAAGTGGGAGATTTGTTGTGTGTGTGGAGGCAGTTACACGAAAATAAAATAAAAATAAAAATAAAAATAAGGGTAGCAACTGTTCCTGTCTCTTTACTGCCACGCCCGCCAGTCTCCATTTTCGCGAAATACAGAGGCTTCATCCTGTTTTTGTGATATACAAGACCCATCGCCTTCGTGACCACCGAAGCAAGCGATTTGAAGGAAGCAAGTGGCGGAAACAGGGAGATGATTGAAGGCGGCAGAAGGAAGAAGAAGAGGAGATCGCAAGTGGCGGTTCTCCTAAAAGGTTTCTTCGCGATTTATCTCTCCAGTGTAAGGCTTGCGGGAAGAAGTATAGCAAAAAGGTGTTATTCTCTCCTACTGTTTTTCTTCTTCGGTGTATCTCGGCGTAGTGAGAGAAAGAGTTTGCTCTTGTAAGTCGAGACGATCTATTGGTGTAAATTCCTCGAGCAATAAAATCCTCTGCAGCTCTGTGGATGTAGGAAAAAATTGTCGAACCACGTAAGTTCTTTTCTGATGTGAATTTTCTCGTTCTATTTTTCGCTTCATCGTCGATCGTTCTATTTCAATATACCACAACAACCTCCTGAGAAAAGCTAAGCCAAAAAGTCATAAGTATATTATTCACAGGAATCTAATAAAGAGACCCAATTGGCCCAAGTATGTTATGCCTAAGGATCTAATAGAGAGGATAGCCATGGCATTGCCCAGCAGTAAAGGAAGAGCTACTTATTAGAAATCTAAAGAATAGCATAATCAACATTTTAGTAGTAGATAAGCCATCAGTAACTTGACCATAAGAAAGACAAATTTTCTTAAAATTTCTAGAGCAACGCATGGTGATTCAAGGGTCAATCAAAGAGACAATTTCAGCATATTGATACACTAAATTTAATATTTTATCCTCTATCCCATAGAAGCACTTAGTTTAATATCAAAGCTTTATTAAGATTAGAGGTTGAACTTAAGAAAGTTCTTGGAGTTTCACTTGAAGCTATGCTAAGCTCTATTCCATTACCCTAAGGCGGCTAGGAAATCAACTCCATTCTATATCTTATACCACCAATCAATTTTGATTGGCCGTTTATAATGTGTCAAGATAATCCAAGTACTCTAGCTAGTGTTGCAACTCCACAATATAAATTATAACACGCTAGTAGGTTTTCATGTCCCTCTTAATCAGAACACACAAGAATGCAATTGTGTTTCAAAAGAGAAGGAAAAGGTTGAGTGGGGCTAGATTCACCATTAGTCTTGGCTCTTTATCTGCATCCTGGAGTTCTAAGCCCACTTCAATCCTTCCAAATGTCTTTTCCATTTTGTGCCTTAAACTTGAATTTTATAACTTTTATGATATTCATTGTTTCCCCTCCAAGAGAAAAGGTCACTTAACTAGACAGCTCTCTTCTCACGCCAAGAACAAAGTTGGAAAGGCAATGTCTACCAACTAATCCAAAAGACATTTGTGAATACGTTGTTAAGGGTTCAATGTCAGTGTTTCTTATGAGTTAGGACTTAATGTATACCGTATATGAAACCTCTAGATAGAAAAATGGTCCCATTCTTAGACTCTCAATCATATTCTTCGCCTACAAGGAAAGAGCAAACAAGAAATAAAAATGATCAAAAACACTTGCCTAAGTTTTACTGAAAGAGGAGCTAGGTTGAACTTAAGTGAAAACAAAATTTAAAGTAAATTTCTAAGAGAAGAATTGAGAAAAAAATCATAAAAGTTGAAGTCTTTAAGTCTCTTCTTAGGTTATAAGGCAAAAATACTTTGTACCGAGGACAAAAAGTCTGTGTGTAGATAAGATAAAGATTCTATAATTTTCCTCAACCTAACTTTCATTATCTCAACCAAGGAGAGAAGTTTGACGGACTCTATAGAAGAGAGAATGTACTCTGTGAGACTCCAGGATTGCAGAAAAACTAAGCAATTTGAATATTGGGAGCAAATAAGCTTCTACTATCGAGCTCCTTCGACATATAAAAGCAGCTCAAGAATTTGGGCCCAATCTTGCCTTCTAACTGCAAAGACATCAAAAGCATGGAGGCAAATAAGCTCTACTCTTGAGATACTTGAATATATAAAGGCAGCTCAAGAGTAAGAGTCTAGTCTAAGCTACTAACTTCAAGGTCAACACAACCTTCCCGTTTCAAGATTAATTCTCAAATGTAAGCCTAGAAGTAAACATGTGACTACTTGGCGGCTTAAAGTTACCACGCTGAGACTTTAATATGCCAAGTAGTTATCCAACATGAGTTTACCAAGCTCAAATGCTACAAGATATGACAGCTAAAACATATGTACCACATTTTTGTGCCACGTAAAATCAATAAAGCATCAAGGAAGGATGTATGGAATGCTAAAGTTTGAGTAGGAATATCAAGTTATCTCGTTATACCCAACATTAGCACTTAACGTGGCACAGTAATACCTGCAGCTTAACTCATGATTAAAAAATTCATAGTACTCTTACAAATAAAGCTGCTCCATTAATGGAGAAAGAGAGTGAAATTTCTACTTTCTAGAAGTCCTATCATCCCCCCGCTTCAATCATCTCCTAAAAATGATTGAAAAACAAGTATCTTAAGTATTAAAAATGGCAAAATTATTACAACCACCCCAAATGTGGATACTGCTGGACAAGACTAATAAGAAGCATATAAAGTTGCTATTAAAAGACTCGTTATACAGGCTGCTCCAAGGTATCTCAATAACTTAAAATGTTACAAGGATCTATTTGGAACTTCTTCGTTCAGTACCGTTCCCTCCGCGATAGCTTCACCTAAACTTGATACCATTATTCAAATGCAGCCCAATGTCACCAAAATCATTAAAAATGTTCAAAACAATGCATGAATTCCTAGATGATTAATTTTTAACAGGCTATAGTTCAAGCCACCAAAGGGATTCTTACACCATCCATGGTTCACTAGTTGCTTATGCATGCATAGCACAAGACCTACACTTTTACAGTTATTCTTCGACTTGTCCTATATTTTTAGGGTTAAAAAAAAAAGAAATACAATATGCAGTATGTATCCACATGGAGGTGCGCTGTAGCTACACTAGCAACAAATTAGCCTGCAGTTGCAAGCAAAATACAAGGCACAATTTTGACATTCCTTACCTGTTAACACAATGGCTTATACATGCCAACAGGTTATTTAACAAACAAGAGCTGACAAACTATGCTTGAATTATTATTCCTAAACATTTCTACAATATTTATGAAACCTTCAAACCACCTTCAACCTCCAGTTGTGTTGTGCTGCATGGATACATTATCCTTGCTTTTTGAAAGCAGAGCAGGGAAAGCCATCGCTTCATATAGAAAACTAGAGGAGCTGATGCAATTTTATGAGTTAGTAAGCACTAATCATATTTCCTTGAATGTTTCCAGCGACTAACTTAAAATATCAGATCAAACTTCAACTTCAAATTTATCATCAAAAGGCTTGGTTCTTATTATGAAAAAATCAATAGCTAAGTGTCTATGTAGATAAACAAATGAACTTGCTAGCACGCAGAGGTTTTGCAAAATCCCACATCCCTTGTACAATACAAAATGTATTAGCAAATGAGAAGAAGGATAAATGTCAGTTGAGTCGAAAAAAGCTTGTGCCAATACCTTGGTATAGCCATTAAGGTTGATCAGAATCTGAATCTTATCCTCGTTGATCATTCTTGCAATTAGATCGGAAGTCATGGAAGAAACATCAATAAAATGTTCAGTTTCTGCCATGATCCGTTGCCTCCATTCAGTGCCATCATTTTGACTCAATGCATAACAGAAGACCTGCAATATTAAATTGTTTCAATCTTCCCGATGATCATGAAATCAGAAGATTCAAGATTAAGTAGAATTTAGTAGGTGAGGAAGAGATAAGGAAGCAGCATCAATAGAACCTCAACATTCTCCCGGTTATGCATTCCAAACACAGAACCCATGAGATGAGACAAAGGATGGTTACCAAAGTCACTGCTGACATATCTAAAGCAAAAAAAGAATATCGTGCATTAAGCCAAGCCTGTCTAAAAGATGTTTAAAAGGCTGTCAAACTATACATACCCCACCCTAAGACGGTCAGTTCCTCCTTTAGCCTTCACAGGTACAGGGAGAGGGTGAACAAATGGCGGCAGTCCATAACGTGATGCAATTAATAAGCATTGTGCTGCATACTTTTGGCTAAAGAAAGAAAAAAAATAATGCTTGGGTTCCTAAATTGAACACTACAAGGGAAGAATGACTCGTAACTTGAGTCAGGTCACCTATCAATAAACAAAAAATTCACAAAAATACCTTATTTCTAATGCAAGTGTAGGATCAATAGGATACGCGATAGCATGAAATGGTTGGACACCTGGAAGAAGTCCCATCTGAAACATGGCTCAGAGAATACCACATCGAAATTTAAAATTAAAGGACAAATAATGAACTATTAAAAAATAAAATAGTGGTTAATAGCTCAAAACCTTGATTTGCTTTTTGATGATTCCCTCCACTTCAGCAAACTTGTCATCCCGATCCACCCAATCACAAACACACTGGAAAGATATATTAAAGCAATTTCAAAACAGAAGAAAATCGCCACACAAGACAAAGAATGAAATGTGTAATAAAAACCAACACGCTTACCTGTAATGTGTGTAAGAGATTGCAGGTGGCCTCAGGAAAGTCAGGGCGGAGAAGTAAGGCTTGCCGATAACAAGTTATGGCAAGATCCACATGTCCACTGCACATCACAAGGGTTTAAAAAGGACCCGAAAGAATTTAGCATCATAGAAATCTTAGATTCCAAATAAATGTCCAATATCCCTGCAGAAAACTGAGATCCATTACCTATCCTTGTACGCAGAGGCCAAGTTTGCATGAGCTTCGGCCATAGTTGGCCTGATAGAAACAGCTCGTGCATAATCTTGAATAGCTTCAGTAACCCTTCCCATCTCCTTATACGTGTTTCCCCTATTGACAAGGCCATCAGCTGCCATAGGATCTATTCGAAGAACCTCATTATAACATGCTATAGCATCAGCATAGTTTCCCTATCAGCACAACAATAAAATCCACTCAGAAAATTTTGAAGCTTTTTAACCACTGGCATAATATTACATTGAATCAAGCTGGTGAATTTTTAAACAAAAAATATACAAACAAAATTCATTATGGAAAAATGATTGATGGTGAAGTATCTTGGCAGCAGTAAAACCTGTTGTTTGTAAATTATTGCAAGGTTGCTGAATGGAGCATATAATCCTGTTGTCACAGATAAAGTTGCTTTGTAAAAAGTAGCAGCGGCATTTAGCACATTCCTGCACTTGGAAACAACTCTAAATATGACTCGTCAGTTAATATAAAAAGTACAGATTCTACAGATAAACAGCTCACCATTCCATATAGATGTTTCCAATGTTTGTAAGAGCCTGAGGGTGGTTAGGTTGCAAAGCAAGGCAAGACTTTACACCGATATGAGAACAAAAATGTCAGAATAAAAGTTTAAAATGCTTAAAGAGGCATATAACAAATAAGAAAAATAGATACCCTATAGCAATTCATTGCCTCATCCACTCTGCCCAAATCTTTCAAAGCATTTCCCTTTCAATCACATTACATAATCAAAATAAGTTCATTTGTAGAAAGATGATAGATTGACAAAAATAGCTTAAAAATAGAAATGAAAAACAAACCAAATTATTATATGCCTCCACAAATCCTGAATCAGAAGCAATGGCTTGTTTGTAATGAAGAATTGCCAAATCCAGCTGACCTTGTTCATAGTATATGCTAGCAAGGTTTCCTGCACCAAATGTATCATTCTATACTCATTGCCTAATCAAGCAGTATCAATCAGGACTTCATCAGGTTACAATATAATAGATGACACCATTTCACTTCATTTTATACACTAGATGGAAATAAACATCACAGCATCATCAGCAACAAGCAAGTCAAGATAAGTAATTGTACAAAAAATCTGCACATATGCTCCCTTTAGCATGATGTTTTGTTTCATTATTATTGTTTTGTATTTATATCCCTTCAGAACAAAAAATGTTTGGATGCTACTTATTTCTGTTTGCAGAAATAAAACGGAAAACATGTTTGACAACCAAGTTAGAAGACGAAATCATTGTATATGTGATTACTATTAGAAAGTATATTTAATACATAATTGATCTAAACATCATCATCATTAAATTTTATTTAAGAATTAACAACCATGTATTTCCACTAAAATCACTAATCAACATGTTAATAATGCTAATCCTAATAATCATCTAAACATTATCATCATTAAAGCTTATTTAAGAATTAACTGCCACACATTTCCACTAAAATCACTAATCAACAGCTTAATAATACTAATCCTAATAATCATAAATAAGTAGTCAAATACTAAAATTTTAATGATTTAAAGCAAAAAAGATTCCTATTTAAATAAAATATTTAATTAACTAATAATTACTAAGCGTAATTAATTGTAATTTTAACCATCACATGCTTCATTACAATGAAAAAATTTTAATAAAACCTTATTTTTCTTATTAAACTCTAATTAAGTAGTAAGGTACTACTAAAATTTTATTAATCTCACTTAAAATACCAGCCAGCTCCAAATTAAATAAAATAAAAAGTTAATTAAAAATCACTAAAATAACTAAAACCTGTTTGGGATTAATTTTATATTTTGTTTTTTCACTCTTTGTAAAAAAAATGTTTGTTTCGTGTAATTTTTATACATTCTTATTTTTAAATAGATCAATTTATTAGCAAAGTATATTAAAAAAAAATTAGATACTTCGAGAATTTTTAAAGACAGCTACCACCGCCAACAATCTCTAAACATGTTTTAATTCAAAACAAAATAAAATACAAAAAATTGAAAAAGAAAAAGACTTGTTGTTAGGGATTTACTTAGGCTTAGTGAGGGATTAATTAGGCTATAATAAGAACAATAAGTTTTTATTAGTATTTAATTATTCTGATAATGCATGGGATAATTAATTTGTATTTTAAGCCAAATTGCGATAATCAATACTAATAAGTAATCATGATCTATAAAAAACTTAAACACTCATTAGTTAGTCTAAAAAATCATTAATTATTATTATTCAAATTAATTGCTACTTTTGAATAATAACCCAATGCTTAATTATCATTATTTAACACTAAAATATTTAACAGTTTTAATTAAATAAAATTAATACCTAATAGGTCTAACTAATTACCATCTGGCCAAGTTGTCAAATATATGATTATCATAAGCCCAATTATTGTAATTAAGACATAATAAAAAGTTAATCAACTTTATTACAACACTATGTAGTATTATTTTTAACTCAGTAAATTGTCAAGGAAAAGCTATTTTTTCTACATATAAATACCATAATTAAACATCATTAAACTTTAATAATCTTAAAAATAACACTTAATTAATCTTTAATTAGCTATTCAATCTCTAATTATCTTAATTAGTCTAATCATGGAAAACAGCAAGTTTCAAAAAATAAAAAACCCATTTTGTTTCCAAAAAGAAGATATTAAAACATGGCTATCAAACAGGTTTTATTTAAATTGCATGTTTTGGAAAACAAAAATAATATAAAGCAAGAATGAATCCAAACATGAGCTAAGCTTGAAAAATTAATCTCAATTAAACAAGGCTTTTAATTGAAACAACATGATAAGAAAAACATAATAAAATTTCAATGACAAGTCATTCTACCCAGATATATATTTTAAAAATACCTGTAAAAGATGTACAATAATAGAAAATAAAGTAGTGTGTTTCTCACCATAGGCCATTGCATGATTTGGACGGGACTGTAGCACTCGTTGGTAGCACATAATAGCCTCCTGTGGCATTCCCAAAGCCTGGAAAAGCAAAAAAGATAAATCCTCCAAAAACCAACCCGGGAAGTTGCTGTGCCCCAAGGGTAATGCTGTTATGAAGGCTTACCTTATATATGTTTCCTTGATTAAGGTAGGCATCGGTAAGTGCTGGTTTCAGTTTGACTGCTTCCTGGAAATGAAATAAACTTTCACAACACAAAACAGACAAAACTAGACAAGTAGAACATGAATTCAACTTGCAAACCCTGTGTTAGTTTAATTCATTGCAATTCATTTTTTTCAGTGCTCCGAGGGTACTAAACAGAGCTTATCAATGCATGCATGTTACATTTGTATGTTATATTTGTAAACCCATTGTCTTTCCTATTCCTTTCCTATCAATTTTATCCAGCCCACCATGTTGATGCATTTTTAGCTTTTCCAGCGTGCATGCCCATACTACATTCTTTTAAAACCCATAACAATATCCATTAGTTCCCGCCAAATCAATTATCATGATACTCTATCATATGCCTTTGGAAGAAGAATCAAAGCAAATGTAAGGATGTTTTTCCCACACTTTCTTTCCCTTTACTATGATAATTCTGATATGCATGAGATTAAAGAAGAGATATCATGATACTCTTTCATATTCCTTTTGAATAAGATAGAAAGCAAATATCAAGGTACTTTTCCCTCCCTTCGGTATGATAACTTTAATATGCATAAGATTAAAGAAGAGATAAGTGTCCTATCAGATTCAACTAATCCATCCACCACAAAAATTTGATAAAAGATCATAACTGTCATTCATATAAGAACTTGTTTAGCAATAAGCGCGCAACCATATATGAAAACTTAATGAAAGTTGGTAGATGGCATGGATATCACAAATCAAGAAGAAACAGAGAATTAAGAAAAAATTCCCGTACTAAACCAAAAACAACAACGGAAACATATTAAGAGTTCATATATTTGCATTATGTTAAAATAACGCAAGAAATAAACCAAAAAAAGTCTAAGAAAAAGTGGCTATTGACAACTAAACGTGGATTTCTAGTGCAAGAGGACTAGTAAGAAATTTATAGCAACAAAAAGGACCAAAAAATATAGCTTGACCAAAAAGATATTATAAATATCTCGTACAGAGAAAAAAGATAAGTCCATAGAGTCATGGGTAGAAGGTAGGCACTTATTCACTAAACACCCCATAAATCAACATAAGTTTAAGGCATTTGCATTAGCAAAGAACATCGAGTGCCAAGCATTTTGTAGAAATCAAAAAGAAAATGACTGATAAATAGAAGTGCTAATTAAGTGGGATACTTTAAGGAAGTTGCATTGCATTTGAAATGCATAACTTGGTACTAAGTATGCTAAACATCATAACCGACAAGGTGACAAGTTTACAACATACCAATTGTATAATGTTAGAATAAACTTGGTCGCAAAGACAGCTAATGTCAGCCTAACAGATCCAAATGAAGAAAAAGATTGCATTTAATTAAAATGGTTCATAAGGTTTGAATCTGTAAACAGTTAACAATCACAGTTCAAAATAGTTCCTATAAGCCATCCGTAAGTCAGGGCATTGAAATAGCAATGGAAATTTGGTAGAGATTCAATTTATAGCTATGCCAACACACACAGACATATAGGCATAAAAGCACTAGTATTAAACATCGGCAAAGCAGCAGGAAGCTTTACATAGCTTCAAGCCATCAAACCACAAGAAAAGTTACTGCATGAGAGAAGAACATGAAGGATTTTTTGCTCCTAATAGATTTACTGCAAACAATCAAGGATTATTATATTACTAAGGAGAAACTGTGTCTATAACACCATGACAGTATAAATAAAACAGGTCAATATTTAAAATAGCGCAACTTAAACTTTTACTGACTGGCATATATCAAAATATCATTTGATGGCGGAAAAAGGGAAATAAAAGAGGGAAAGCAGGGACAATAGAATGCAAAGCTATAAGAAATGTAACTTGAATCAATTCAACAACAACACTGAAATTTATATGCAATTAATAATGACACTAAAGAAAAGCTATAGTAGACCAAGAATAACAACTCTTAACCCCACATGATGACCAAACTGGTTTGCAAAACCTTCTTTTCCCGTAAATTTGTGATCATTAAGTGTAAGAAATAAAGCAAATTTGCAAGGGAGAATCTAAAACACAGCATGCAAATAATAAAAAATTTATTCTTTACCGTGTAGTATACAAGTGCTCTGTGAAGATCTCCAGCATCCATAAAAAGCCCAGCAAGATTGGACCAAGCAACAGCAAAAGTAGGTTGTATACGCAATGCATCTAGATAACAATTATATGCCTTCAGGAAGAAATGAAATAAATCAGTCCGGTAGAGCAGTTTGAGACAAACAAGCATAATTAGACAGATAGTAATACTAATTTCAAAGAGATTGAAGAGTAGCAAAATAAAAGAGAACATGAGAAGACAGAGGTCCCTACAGCGTAGGGTCACAATATCACTTGTTTATAAACCCATAAAAATCCATTTCAAGGTACGGTCCAATTGAATTTTATCTTCCATGCAGATTCATGAGGTTAGCTATTTACGATATTTCAGAGATCACACAACCCTTAATAATCAACAATAGCATTATAAAATTATTTCACTAATAAATAACACTACAGGGCAGAGGAAGGAAGTGGAAATGGCATTTCTTAAGATTTCACTAAGTGATATTTTCAGCTAAAACTAGAATCATGAAATTTCAGAACTCAAAGATCAAAATTTAAAGAGAACACGAGAAATCAGGGACTATCAGACATAAAAAAGTTTGATGAATTAGCAAGAAAAGTAACTAAAAACATATTTAACAACTCGACACTAGAAAAAGCAATATCACCGAAATTGATGCTAACCTAGCAAAAAAAAGTATTGAAAATTCTATCTCAAACGCATCACAACAGTTTACCTCTTGAATCAGCCCTTGTGATTTCATGAGATTCCCAAGATTGCAATGAGCATCAACCTAAAAAAAATATTCAAAATTAAAATATCAAAAAAAAATAAGAATAGACCTCTTTTGCGTTTTTTTCCCATAAGACAGCATCAGAAATAAAAACATGCTCTGATAAAAAAATAAAAGCAAAAAGCAAAAAAATTCTGTATATGAATTCACCAGGCGAGGATTCAAAGAAAGAGCTTGGCGGCAGCACTGAGCTGCCTCATGAAGCCTCCCCTTCCTTATATAAGCACTTGCTAAATTTGACCAAGCATCAGAGAATTTGGGTCGTAGCTATCAGAAACAAAGAGAAGACATCAGCCAAGGAGAACGACTTTATATGTTTTTGCTTCTTTAAAAGTGCAACCAATTCATATAAAATATCATTGTAATACAAATAGGACTAACGACTATGAATAAGACAATTATGCCCATAATTATCCACAGAAACTCATCCACTGTTCTTCTGAAAATATTTCAATTTGTTATTAACACTGAAGTTCCCCCTCTTCAGAGAAGTTCCAAGGAGTATGACCTTTAAATAGTTAAATAAACTTTATATGTTTCTTCTAACTTAGAATGCAAGCGGTTCTTATAACCTGAGCAAATTTTAATCCCAATTTAATGAGAAAAAGCATAACAAACATGACTGCAGCTACATTCATTATAAAAACAGAAAATTTCAGTTATGGGAATCATAAAAAGGATAATTACAAATAAAAATGCAGGCCCCAAAAAAACAAGAATGATAAATTTCTCCATGCTCGCTACAACAAGTGACAGCATACAAAACACGAAAGTCTAAAACAGCACAGAGGAATGATATTGAAGATGCACTGTTACAGTTTCCATTCGGTGGGATTGGATTGCTTAAGATAAAGAGACCTAAAGATAGAGCTATCTTGAAAAAACAGCTGAATAATGCTAAAAATAACATATATCAGCCATTTGCATTCTAAGCTCGAGAAATTATACATGTCAACAAGGATAACATAAAATTACCTCAAGAGCCACCTGGTAATAACGTATGGCAAGATCAATATTGCCTTTTTCCTGCACCAAATACAATGAGTGTTTTCTTAGATAGCATCTAAACATAAAAACATAATTCACGTAAAAGTAGAGCCGGAGTATAAATAAAATGATGTCCGGATTATAACTGCATAAATTTCCCAAACCATAAAATACAGCAAAGCATGCTAAGTATTAATATATAAATCCCCTCCGAATTCTCCAAACTTTCATACCCCTTGCAAAATTTGAAATTTGCTGAAATTTTACCTTCCAAGCATTAGCCATGTTGCCATAACATTCAGGAAAATGCGGGTCAATGGCAAGAGCCTCTTCATTCCTTGCAATACACATGTCGTAATCATGCAACTGAAAAGTTATCACAACATCGTGTCTCAGGCCGGAAAGAAGAAGAGTGAGAATAACAATAAGAAAAATAAGCCAGAAATGTAAGAGAATTACCAGAAAACAACAAAAAGATGCCAGATAACATGGCATACCCTAAGCAGCAAACGCAACAAATATAACACTACAAACCTGGTAATGGATGGCACCGAGCAGCAGAAGAACATCCGTGCGCTGGGGATAATTCTCGTAGATCACGCTGCAGTGCTCCAGCGCCTGCTTAAATTTCCCGGCTTTATAATTCTGATGGGCAAGCGCTAAGTGCATGTCATCGTCAACTACACCAATCACAGCAGAAAAGCATCAGCACTCTAAAGTCAGCCGTCTATACCTTCCCCCAAAGAAAAGAGAATTTCCAGAACAAAAACAAACTAATTTAACGCGAGATCTGATTAGAGCCATCTTCGCCCCAAAATCCCTAGAGCCCCAATAAACAATACAAAATCTTTAAAAAAAATTACAAAAACCCAAAACTCACGAACCATCAAGCTGATTCACAAGCTGCAAAGGTTTGATATCGTTATAAACATCAATCGGCTGAAGGCTGAGCACAGGATCCTCCAATCGATCACCACCGCCGCCGAAGATACTGCGGCCAAAACCTAGACAAGAAGAAACGGAAACAGCAGCACTTGATCCAAGAACTGGCTGCACCTTCCCCAACGACAACGCCGGCGCCGATGGCTGCTGCCGCGCGTCGTTCTGCAGTGACAGCATCATCACAGCCTTTCAAGGTCTGCACACCCGGGAATCGACGCCGATAGGTCAAAAACCGCCCGCCAGAACCCCTATGCGATCTCAAAAAGGGCGGGTGCGAAGGGGAGAAGGTGGTGGAAGGGGTTTAAAGGTATCACTCCGCTGAACTCCATCGGCTTCCGTCGACTGTCGTTATAAAGGAGAAGTGGTCTTCCCGATCTAGGGAGTGCAGAGTGCCAGCTGTCGCTTGCGGTTGTGAATGCTAACCGTAGGATTCAGTGTTCAATCAATCGAAAGGCTAGAAATGTATTAACTATACGACCAGCGAAATCCGGATGAACACATTTAGCCGGTGAAAATTATAAAAAATAACTAATTAAAATTTTTCCGGACCCATTTGAGTAAATTTTTATTTTTTTATATTTTAAAGACACGTGTAATTTATTTTTTTATTTTTTATAATGTTGAAATCATAATGAAGTAATTTTTAAAAATACATAAAATAATTAAAGGATTTTTTGGGAAATTTTAAAACATTTTTTTTTATTTTTCAAATTTATAATCAATTTTAATTAGTCACATCAAAATATTATCATTTTAACTTTCAATAGCATAAGGGAGGTGATAGTTGATTCATCATAAGCTCTGAAAAATAACTATGATTTCGTATGCGTGGAAATATGGGGCATGGTTGAAATTTGAGAGGAAAAGAATAATTTAGATACCTACCACATAATTATTATGTATTTGCATGTCTCGTTAGGGGTGTGCATTCGGTTGGTTCGGATGGATCGGTTTTAAAATTGGACTAAGTGATTTAAATCACAATCTAGAAATCAAACCGCCGAATCAAATATAATTTTTTGTAGGGCTGAACCAATCAAATCGAAGTTTAATTCGGTTTAAATGATTCGGTCTTTGATAAACTAAAATGTATATATTTGATATATAAAAATAAAATGACTTGGTTACAGTAAGTGATATTCAATTCATAAAAATAATTTGACTGCAAACATAGCTCACAACATAGAGAAAAGGAGGTACGGTACAACAATGGGCCAAAGTTTTGAAAAAAATAGTCTGAATACTAAATAGGCTCGATGCCGAATAAGCTTCATGCCTTTTCACTTCGTTTTCATTCCATTAAATAATAATCTTACAATCTATTTTAGGTACAAAATAAAATGTATAATCTATTTTAGGTAGCTTAATAATACATATTTCTAATCTAAATATTCAGCTAAAAGAAAAATAAATCAGAATAAATATATTAGAAATAAGAAAGCTTTAAATTATATAAAACTTTTAATTTACCTACCAAATTTCCATCCTTTCTAATTGACACAATGAACAAGCTTAAAAAAATAAACATAAATAACTTACATGAATCATAAATTGTTAATAATACAAAAAAAGTTACAAATAATTTTAAGCACTTTAGAATTTGTTTTATTCTATAAATAATGCTCTTTGAGAATTGTCAAGAACTTTCCCTCTAAATTGTTGGCTTGTTTTGATGCCCTTTGGTTGAGCTTCATCAACATCACATTCAACTTAGTCTTTAGAGATGCCAACTTACAATCATTATTTATTGTTACTATACAACAGCCTCAATGAAAAGGAAAACAAAAAGAAGATCTATCCAGGGGGATAGAGAGAACTCAGACTATACGGTTGCCTCAATGAAATGCTCCATCCAAGCAATGTTGAATTCTAAAATAAATAAAGGATCAGCAAGACAAAGACATAAGACCAAGACAAGATTGTCAAATAAAGATATATGAGCATCGTTTGTGTAGTTACGCTTGTTCAGTACACTGGTATTGTTGTGGATCTCATCATTGCTCTCCAAAATGTTAAGAGAAGGAGCGAGATAAAAAATTCCATCCAAGACATGAATGTTTGGTTAAATTCCATTTCCAAATGCCTATGTTCGTAAGCAGTCCAAAAATCGTTGTCAAGTAACAAAGGAACAAAACAGTCCAATAGCAGAGAACTAACAACATTAATCTTATTCAAGTAAGAAAAGAATAATATCAAAATCGCCTAGAAAAGAGAAAAAGATGAAAGTCAGTTAGCAAGCAAAATGAGTGAACCCATTAAGTATTGTTGAAAAATTGTCCTAGCAGTACAGGAAACTACATGTGCATTAATTTTCTCAAAGCAATAATGAAAGTCCCAACAGTATAGCAGTACAGGTCCCAACAGTATAGCAGTACAGGTCCCAACAATACAAAGAACTACATGTCTACATATGCATGTTATGTGATTGATTTGGTGTCAAAGTCATCTTCGCAATGCATTTATCCACACTGATTAAATAGATGTTGTACTTTCCACCAAACACAATTTCATGCAAAGGTCATTTACACACATACCACTCAATGCCGGTGTATTTACATATCTAAACCTATATTTTCCTTCTATTTATACCGTCATCGTTCATATCGATTAAAAAATACTATTATAACATTTAAAATGTAAGTTGCATCTTTTCAAGCATATGCAAGGAGATATGTACGTAAAAATTGAAGTATAGGTATTTGATATGTAAATGCATAGGAATTCAATGGTACACATGTTAATCTTCCTTTATACACTGAGCCTAGACATTGTCCCATAAAAGATGGCAAACCATGGTGGCAAAATCCAATAACAAAATTTCAGCAAGATAGGCATACTTAGATGTCAACTCCAATTGTGTACATATCTGTCAGAAACTATATATAATTGCTGGTCGGGTCGGGGTCGAACCTGCAACTCGCATTTAAGGAAAAAACATGTGGCACCGCAGCTGCCCTGCCAACCCAAACAAAGAAAAAACACTACGACTCGCCGCACCACTCCTCTTTTGCTGCCAAAAGGGGCCTAAATCTCTTATTTGAATTTTAATCATCTTTTTAACTCGTGGCGATCATCTTACCACCATCAAAGAATGATTACTTAATCACGTCCTTCATAATAAAGACATCTAATACGCAAACAACAAATTTTCATCTTTTGGCACGAATCTCGGTGCAATTTTTTGAAAAAGAAAAATTCACTTTGATTGAGAGTCATTCAAAACTCCTATTTCAGCACGCTTATAGTCAAACTTATCGGCTCAAAGAGAGGGACCTAATGATATGAAAGTCAGTCTAATCTGAGTCAAATCAAGCTCTGATCAAATTATCAAACCACACTTGGAAGCTTTCCTGAAGTATTTGAAAGTCAAACAGATGTCAAATTTAACGATTTTATATAAATTTATAGTCGAATTGAGCGTCTCGACAAGAAGAATCCAACGAGTCCAAGATTGCTCAATTCCGACATCGTTAAGGCACTCAAATGTCTATCAAACGTCATCTGATCAAGGGGAAGCTCTCCGAACCGTCCAATCGAAATGGTTCATATTTCTGCATTAATTGCACTCAAAACATTATAAATAGAGCCTCACCCCTCACATGAGAGGAGGGACGCTTAAGAGAGAACTTGAGGCTTTGAGAAGGAGCTCAAGTCCAAGATCATCATTGTCATCGTTGATCGTCATCGATCAACTCTTCGTCGCCCACCACTGACTGTCGACCATCACTGCCGACCTCTGTCAACCACCGTCGGCCATCGTTAATCACCGTCGATCACCGCTGAACTCTGCCGACCACCGCAGACCTTCATCGATTGTCGTCAGCCACCACTGATCTCCATCGACCACCGCTGACCATCATCGATAACCGTCGATCACCGTCGACCACCGCTGACTAGACGTTGTCAGTCGAAGTTGTAACTTATAAAGCTAGTAACCATTTCCCGCCTGTGGGACAAATGATCTCTGTAATCATCAACTTATAGTGAATTTTTACAAATGGGCCAAACCCCGTGGTTTTTCCCCTTTACGTGTTTTCCACGTAAAATCTTCTGGTGTCGTCATAGCTTGATTCATTTTCGTCTGAGTGTATGTTAAATTCTCGCGCAACGCTTAGACAATAATCCATTACTCTACCGCTACGAATTTTCTAGCACACATTAGTTTGGCGCGGTCTGTGGGAAAGTTTTAATCCCACAACTAAGGTACTTATGCGGTTTACTACATGGCCACCAGACACAATGTTCGTGACAACTGAGCATCCCACTCCAACACCAATCGTTCGGGGGAGCAGTCACGAAGCCAAGGGTGGCATGCTTCTTCAGCTTCCCTCGCTGGAAGACATACTACATGGCCACCAGACACAATGTTCGTGACAACTGAGCATCCCACTCCAACACCAATCGTTCGGGGGAGCAGTCACGAAGCCAAGGGTGGCATGCTTCTTCAGCTTCCCTCGCTGGAAGACACTATCCTGCCAACGAAGGTGTTTCAGGTCCTTCTATAGAATATCGAATGCTTAGAATGGAGGAGTCTCAACTAGAAATCCTACAGCTCCTACGCGGGGCTCAACAACCGCTGCCCACACCATTAATTCCGCGACGTAAGAGAAACATATTGCTCGGAGGAACTCGTACCAGCCCGCCTCCTCAAGAAGGAGCACATTCTCTGTCAGGTCGTGATGTTGAACTCCTAGATACCGCAAGTTATACTCATCCATCTCGTGCAGCTCATCTGACATCGCCAAATCTTCCTGGCATTTCAGATGATGTCATTTGTAATGAACTACGACGCCTCATCCGGGAAGAGTTTCCCTTAGAGAAAAAAGACTGTTTCTACACTCACTGCAACATACATGCATCCTCTCCCTTAGTGGATGTTGTCCTCCAACACCCCATCCCAACAGGCTTCAAGCTTCCGAACATCGATACATATGAAGGGATAACCAACCCATACGAACATATTGATCATTATCGGACTATCATGCACATTCAGCATGCCTCTGATGCACTTTTGTGTCAGGTTTTCCCGACTACTCTTAAAGGCCAAGCTCGAACCTGGTTTTACTCTCTGTCATGGGGCACTATAAACACCTTTAATGAGCTTGTCGGACTGTTTGTGGAGCAGTTCGTAGCAAACCGATAGATTATCAAGGATTCATCCCATCTCTCAGGAATTCGTCAAAGCAAAGAAGAATCGTTGAATGATTACTTCCTCAGGTTTTCTACTGAAGTCCGGCAGATTCCGGGAGTAGATCCAGAGTTACTAAGAGGAGTCTTCCTTGGGGGGTTCCTCCCAGGACCTTTCTACTCATTGTTGATGCGGGAGACGGTTC